CAATTGTGTCCACACAACTCACACTCTCTCTCCACTCACTGTAATAGCAATGTCTGTGCACTCAATGGCAAAGCAATGTCTGCACAACTCTTACAACAAACACTGTTGACGAGTCAGTCCTCTCTCTCTCTCTCTCCCGCAATAGCCGTCCAATACGTGTGTATAGTCTGTGGCGGCGCTGCTGTCGACCACTCAATGCATACGCAATAACAATACAAATGCCGTAAACAAGCGCTCAATGAGACACTCACTCAACCATTTAGTACAAGTCATGTGCTTTTCATCAGCTCTTGTGACTCGCTATCGCTTTAATGTACGGCAACTACAATACACACCGCCTATAGTGAACACCTGTCTATAGTGTACGTACAGATGATTTGATAAGCCTTTTAAACGTCTTTCAAATGATTGCGATTATGTGTTTGGCATGTGATGTACGGACACTGATATAGCGAACAGATGGCCATACGGTTGAGCCCAACGGCTCACACACTGGCGACCGGACGTACTCTATATCATGAGTAGTCGGTATCGCTATTATAAATATTAATACAGGCAATCGCTGTGTAATCGATATCTCATCACATGTTATGAGTGTTTGAATTCATTTGAAAAGTTGTTTTCATTGGCTGTGATTGGCGTTCAGTACAAGTGTCACACATTTGTACCACTCATTTGATCCCTAAATCTTGTGCCCATTTATCTCCTCTACATCTCTGATCAGTCCTCCAGACGTGACACACGTATAGCTCTGGCAATGACTTCATATACCGTTGAATACATAACTGATAAATTGAAACAACATTTAGAGACAACACATTTGGTCTGTCTTTTTGATACATGTTTTGATTGAATTGTCATTTAATTGTCTCAATGTTTGGCACTAATTGTGTTGTAATGGTTAGCAGTCGGTGGAGGACATGTCGGACGGATGCGGCGCTAAGTTTAACGCATTGATAGTGTCGGACAAGTTTGAAGGCATTCCCCTCTTAGAGAGACACCGAATGGTGAACACTGTGTTGTCCACAGAACTCAAGACAATACACGCGTTCACTATGAAGACTATCACATCCAAACAATACCATGATTTACAAAATAAATGATTACATCATTATTAGCCGCAATTACTATTATTTAATAATACATTTTTAATGATTCCCACATTTAATGAGTTTACGAATGAATTGACACTTTTTTACATATTTAAAAATAAAACATTTTGATTGCAATTTATTTCCTTTAAATACAATTTATCATTCATTACATCTTATTTATGGATTTGTCTTATTTATGGCATAATGTGATAGTCATTGAGTGAGTCTTCACTTCTTGATGTCAGCCAAAAGCTGATCTTCCCTTCCATTTGAACTCAAAATATAGTTTTTATATAACTTTTAAGTCATTTCCGTATAACTGGTATTTATATCTTCAAAATCAATCCTTCAAATCATTTTCAGACACATTTTCAATTCAATTGTCGTATGAATTGTTTGGTTGGAAAATATTCAACAAAAATCAATTGATAGCCAAAAATGGTTAATATTGTGGTTAAAATAGTTTTAGTAGTTTTGGTTATTTTATTCATTTATCACATGTTTGTGTCAATTGATTTAAATCGTGTGATTCGTTGGATTAAATTAGTGAACACCACTCGAGCTCTCAAACACCTCTTGTCCGAAGATTCTTAACCATCACTACATTGTCTTTAAAAAGTATTTATTTTTAAAGTTATAGTAAAAAAGTTTTTATTAATGAAAAATTAATTAAATTTTTTGTCTTACGTATAACCCATACATTGTATACGTAATTAAGATGTAATTAAGTATATATTTAATTTTTATAGACAGAAATAACATGAAATTCAATCACTAAATGGCTTTTGACGTGATTTCATTGAATGCTATCACATGTCTCTATCACTGTTCACAAGACCTCATCAATTGTATGGCAAATATACTTTATATGACATGAAAATCTGGTGATTGTGTTAACTCTAATATATGGCCGCATCTTATAAATGAAAGCTTTATTATTACCATCAGTTGATCTCAACATTATGTTTACAACTTTTTGATCATTAATTATAATTATAATCAATGAATAATTATTATTTCCATATTTTTTAAAAACTTTTATATTTTTAAAACTTTTATATTTATATAAACTCTATTTTAAAGTATATTTTAAATTAAAATTACATTCATATTTAGTAAAAGTAGAAATTAAATGTTATCTTTTAAAACAATGTAAACATAAAATATCTTTTTGTATATTAATAAAACAATCGATAATATAATTGATTAAATAAAGCAATTGCAATGTTTGAGTCATAATTGTGGTGATGTCTTAATTATCTGATGGCAGATCAGATCCGTAAGCACTCGAATCAGACATATGTTTGCTCTCAGAGTGAGCGTCACTGAAGACGTGCGAAACATCTGACGAATGCTTTGAATGTTTGCGATCAGACTTTTTGATCACTTGATCGGTTCCAGCGCTCACGGGTTCGAACACTTTCTCCAATTCCGATCCCTCTGTCGACTGCTTATGGATAGGACTGTTGTAACCATCAAATGAGTCACAATTGTCTGAAGTGGTTCTCTGGTTATCGTAATCCATATTAATTGATAACGAATTCATGGTATTAGTGTAGCGGAGATTATCGAAACTCATGGTTGGATCCAAAAACTTTTGCTCAGAACACGAAGACCTTAGGATCAGCGCCTGTGGATTAGCCTTCAACAGCGACTGGATCTGCTCTTTAGACCACTTCTTCAGATGATTTCGACTCTTTTTACAGAACTTTTTATATAAGAATAGAAACAATTGGAAGAGAAGAAACACAATGACAAACACAACAAAACCAATGATCACCATTGGAAAGAATTCCATCTTCATCAATCATCAATTATTGTCTCATTAATCAAACCATTATAGAAGTAATGGCACACAAGAACTCATACCAAATGAAACCCAAAGCGAGAATAGCTGTTGTGTTTGGAAAAACACCCGCAAAACAAACTATATTTAATTGGGAATAAGTTTTCCAAAATTGTTTTAATTACTATTTGTATAGCATTTTGAAAGCAAATTCAATTTTTCGCGCTTTAGTGTTATAGTTATTAAATCATAATTTAATAAATACTATAATTGACACTCAAATATTATACATGTTATGTAATGGTATTAGTATTTAATATTTGTTCAAAAAATGTTTCAAATGCCTAAATTCTGGTTAACCTTTATTTACATTATTGTTACAAAACTTTTCCAATATTTACCATGTGATTATTATTTGCTTTATTTCATAGCATTTTAGGTAAACTACTTGTACTGGAATTTTTCCTGTTATACATGTATATTGTTATATAATTCATAATTATATTTAATTTCATAGAAATGAGATATATATCACGGGTTTGATAACTAGACTCCGCACAACCCGTGACTACAGAACCCATGAATTGAATTATCAAATAGTTTTATATGCAGTATATGTGCCATAAAATAACTTTTATTTTTAATTACATAAAAATTACATAATTATAAGATTATGGAGAGAAATGAGTTACAATGAAATCAAGATTTCCAGCGAAAGTGTTTCATTCATTTGTTGTGCGATATGATAGACAGACCATAAGCTCTTAACTTCATAACTCCCCTCCATTTGATTTGATAGGTATTTGTAGTAAAGTTTAGGTTACATTTTAAACAAACATTTTCAGGATGTGTTGATTAAATCATTGATTGATTGCAATATTTTCTAGATATAACAATATCGCTGTTATCAAACAAATTTTTATAACAATAACTATTTATAGCAACAAATCTATGTGCGCTAATAAACTCATGACAGCAATTAATTATTAACACTGAAATATACATTTGCATTTACATGTTTATAAATATTTATAATTTTGTACTTTATAAAATTATAGGTTAAATGCTAATGTGTAATAATATGTAATATAATTAATAGTAAACTATAAAATTAGACATAAGAATCGCGATGAGAGGGGGCGGCGATTGCATCTTCATATGTGGGCAACACTTCACTACTATTTGGTACTAAATTACTTAACTGTTTGATTAATGAGTTATCGATTAGATTTTGATGATTTGTATTCACAGAATTGCCAATAATGTCCTCATAAGGGGGTGGGAGTGAGGACTGACCGCTCGGCGTCACATCATTAGAGTATTGTTGGCTATGATTGCAATGGTTATTAGCGTTATCTCTGATATGTGTTTGAGACGAAAGTGGAAGCATTTCAGGCCAAACAATAGGTTGCGAAGGGAATTGTCTCTTATTTCTAAACATAGAATATATGGAACAACAGAGGAATAAAAGGACGGGAATGGCGGCAATTATGAGCCAATATTTGTCAGAATTGGATCCAATGAAGAATATTTGAGGATTAATGCCAATACAGAATCGGTCGTCGATGGGTCGGTGACCGCATTGGAGTCTAACGAACGTGACTTCACTCGAGTACGAGACATAATTACCGGCGTTTGTGAGTTGATAACCGGCCGGACAGACACACGACTGCTGCCAAACCAGCGGTTCCTTATTGGTGTAGAGGGCGTCGATCCGCAGATGTCTGATATCAGTGCCGAANTGACACGACTCGTATGCGAAGAGCAGTCGTGTCGATGCGCTCAGGGATTCAGTTATAACGTTGAGATCGATGGCTGCGAAAGCATTGAGAAGATTAAGGAGAGAGACAATCAGACCAGAAAAATGATGTATTTGTTCATCGGTTTGGGTCTGTTCTTCGGCGCCGCCCTATCGCTCAAGTTTGGCACCAATTCGGCCGCTTCTACACAACAAATGCTTCTCAAACGCGTTGTCGAACTTAGAAGACAACAACAGCTCGAAGAACAACAGCAACGACTTCGCCGACACACTCAGGGATCCGATGACAACAACGACACGTGCGTTGATATGACAGCCATCGCTGATGAACAAGCGATCGATAAGGAGGAGAGTGCGTAAACACTGACCACAATATATGCATTGTATAAGTGATTATAAGAGTAATATATTTTATTATATAAGTTATCAATTATTTTTGTAAACAGAAATCTCTTATTTTTAATGTCTTTTGTTACTATATTTTTGTAACATTTGTTGTTTCCAAAGACATACTTAAAATTGTGGTCATATTTTTTCTCAACATTTCATTTCATTTACAAATTTATAGTTAAAATACTATATTTTCCATACGAATGCTCACAAAGTTAACGGCTTTAATAATTATATCATTGTATTTATGATTACATTTTAAAGAATTACTGATTTTAACGAATCCAATAATGGATAATATTTTTCTTAAATGATAATAAGATGAATGACAACTCAATAATAATCTAAATATAAATATTTACCAAATATTTTATATAACCAAAACCAAAATAATCTCTAATTTTATGGCAACTCTTTATAAAATGTTTTTTTGATTTATTTAATTTCCAAATGATTTTTTATCGCAATTTTTATTATTAATAATAACTATTCTGTTTATATAATAATAAAATGATTAATAATTTGCAATTTATCGCAATTATCATCGTTTTTGCAAACAAAATAATAATGAGTTTAACGATTGAAACACTACTGGGAGACGACTGTATATGTGAAGGTCGATGCAGTGAATGCATAATCGGGTCGTCGGACAAACTCTGCAGACACTGTACCGGATATTTCGGCACTGATATCAGACATCTGCGGATCGACGCCCTCTACACCAATAAGGAACCGCTGGTTTGGCAGCAGTCGTGTGTCTGTCCGGCCGGTTATCAACTCACAAACGCCGGTAATTATGTCTCGT